AGAGACAACGAGGTTGTCACAGGATAGAGCAGGGTTCAGGGCTATTGTTCATCAGCGCTGCTATGAGTCGCAAGAGACTTGACACCACATAACAACAACAACAAAAATTCAGTGGAGGGTCAGCTATGGGTCATTCCAACCCAATGGTACACAACAACAACAACAATAAGGAAAAGTTATTTTGCACAGCAGCTCCATGCCTAGATCTCTTCCCCACTCCAAGGCAATGGTTTCTAACTCCAGAGTGCAGAGCAATCACCGACGGCTGCTGGGCGCCAACGAGAAGATTCTGAGTCACAGAACCCTGCGAGACGGAGTAGAACTGCCCCAAAGGACTTTCGTAACTGTAATCGTTAGAGAAACCAAAATCCTGTGATCTTATAGAAACAAATGAAATTAGTATTTTTTTTTAATCCTTAAGGGGAGCTCTGGTGGTCTAGTGGCAAGAAGCTGCACTGCAATCCCAGAGGCGCACGGTTCAAATCCACCAGATGCTCTGCCAGGGAAGGGGGGACAATCTCCTCCCGTACCAGTCAGATCTGATTTGACGGTACACACACACAAAAATAATAAAATAAAAAAATTATAAAAATCACAAAATAAAACAAATTCATTTATCTGCTAATTTGGTGAGTGGTATAATCAGGCTCTACCAGCGGCTGTAATTGATTCTGTTTGCGTCAAACGGATTCTGAGCATAGTGGACTGTGGTGGTTTTCGAGAGAGATCACAGATTCTTGGATATGCTTCCCCACAAGAAACAGAACTTGACTCCCTTCACATTAAGTTTAAGATAGAGAACTCCAGCTGAGTAGGTGAGGAGCTTCACTATTAACCAAAAGACAAGTGGTTCGAATCTACCAGCTGCTCCATGAAAGAAAGACTGGCCCTCTCCCCTCATGTGATTCACGGCCTCTGAAAACCACTGCAGGTTCAGCTATGAGTGGACTTTAACTGACAGCAATGAGCTGAGGTGGTTTTTGTTTTTTTCCTGCTCCACGCGAGAAGGATGGGCATTCTCCTCCGGTGTGATTTACTGCCCCTGAAAACCCCCTGGAGGGTCAGCGATGGGTCAGTCCCAACTCAACGGTAAACAACAACAAACCTATACTTAAATGCATGTAGTGAAGAGAATACATCAGAAGCGATGTCACAGCATTTCTGAGTGTTTCTGGGTGTGTGAAATCAGCTGTGACTCATAGCGACCCTACGAGTAAGAGAACAAAACCCTGTCTGATCTTATGCCTTCCTCAAAACCCTGTCTGGCAATCCCAGAGGTGTGTGGTTCAAATCCACCAGATAGATGCTCTGCTGAAGAAGAGGGAGCAATCGCCTCCTGTACCAGTCAGATCCAATTTGACGGTACACACATAAAAAGAGTAAATAAGTTAAAAAAACCCCAACAAAACAAAAAACCCTGTCTGTCTGATCCTATGCCTTCCTCATAGTTGTGTGCATAATCTGGTAGCTTCAGGTACTGTATCAATCCATCTCACCGAGGGTCTCCCTCTCTCTCACCAATCCTCTGCTTTTCCAAGCACGATGCCTTTCTCTAGGGACCAGTTCCTCCTGATTTCCTGAGCTTAGGTAATACAAAATCTACAGCGTCCGTTCTGGAGTTGCCCTCTTCCTCATGCATCATTCACCATGAGGAGTAGTGTCCGCCATCGGTCTGATGGACAGGCCACACAGCAAGAACGGAAGGGTGTTGCCAACAGCTAGGCGTACGTGTATGTGCCAGCAGCTCCTCCAGTCCCCAGACCCTTCATGCTAGACGAATTTCAAGGGCTTGGTAGCTTGTCACGTATACTCTTTAAGCAAAATGCAAATATGTTAGAAATCAGTGGCAATGTGGGAAAATATTATATTTGACAAGGAAGAAAAACAAAAACACAACAACCCACTTCTCAACATTTCCTGAGTCAAACAGAATTCAAAACGGACATGTTTGGAAATGAATGATAATAAAAACATCACATGCCAAAGTTGATGAGATGTAGCAGTCAATTAAAAAAAAAAGTCTCATTACTACTTTAAACTACTACTAGAAAAGAATGCCTACGTGAAACTATTGAGCTTCAGAGAACAGAAAGATATAAAAAGGAAAAGTGCTCTGAAGCAGCAGAGAAACACACGAGCCAGACCTCGAGAGCTGTCACTGTCATTTCTGCAGAGCTCAAACCCGTAAGAAAAGGATAATGAGAGATATTTTAACAAGACACCTGCTAATTTAAGTGAAATGGAAAAAACACTAAGAGTGCTTGTTTAGATCCTATTTTTTTCTATAGATTTAAAATGTTTCATAACAAGAATCTTAAATCTAACACTTGTGCTTAAAATTGAGAGTATAGTCTACTTTAAAAAAAATTCCTACTATTTATAAGCAAAAAAAAAAAATCTTTGTTTTTCAACTTCAAAACCCAGGTGACTGAGCAGAAAAACTGTGGGTTATGTGTTGTGTTTTTTTTCTTCTTTGAAGCCCACAGCAGAGACAGGAAACCCCACCTGGTGCATAAGGTAGCTCAGAATGTCCCCATGTGAGAGGGGTGTGCAGGTGGGGCGTGGGGCTAGGAAATGGCCCATCTTTCTCCTGCAGAGCTGCTGGGAGAGCTGAGCTGCTCACTTTTGAGGTTACAGACTGTGCAGTTCCTCACCACTAAGCCTCTGGCGGCCTTGTGGTAAGAAGCTGCACTGCAATCTCAAAGCCACACGGTTCAAATCCACCAGACGCTCCTCAGGAAAAAGATGGCCCATCTCCTATGCTATTTACTGCCTCTGAAAATGAGTCAGTTCTGACTCACGGCACACAAGAAGTCATGGGAGTTCCGTGTGTGTGTGTGTGTGTGTGTGTGTGTGTGTGTGTGTGACTGTTTTTATGTTCCTCTCTACTCCTTCCAGAGAGCCCTGGTGGCACAGTGTCACGGCAGTCACTTGCCCCTGAAGAAAAGGCCAGCACTGGCCCACAGCTCACGTTTGCCCTGCCCTGCTCAGCTCTGACTCTCCACCAGCTGCTGGCAATTCTGACTCACATCACCCGTGTGCTTCAGTACCCAGCAGGTGGAGTCCCTGGGAGCAGACCACCAGGTCAGCCTTGGGAAGAAATTCCGGCTGTACTTGCACCTACAACCTCTTGGTTGCGAGCCAAGTACATTAAACATTTGCACCACCTAGGGATTCCTTTCATTTTCATAAGATGTACTATTGATACATATTTTATGCGGACACACATTTCTTGCTTTTATTATTTATTAAATGATATGAGTGACTGATATCTATATAGCCATATCTGTATCTCATAGCTGACCCTCCAGCAGGTTTTCAGAGGCAGTAAATCACCTGGGAGAAAACTGCCCATTTTTCTCCTGCAGAGAGAACAGCTGGCAGATTCGAACCGTGTGCCTTTGGATTAGCAGTGCAGTTGCTTACCACTAAAGCCACCAGCTGTTGTGTGCTGTTGAGTTGGAAATGACCCATAGCTGACTCTCCAGTGAGCCTTCAGAGGGAGTAAAGCCCATCAGAGAAGACTGCCAATCCTTCCCCATCAGAGCAGCTGGTGGATCGGAACTGCATGCCTTAAGGGTGGCAGCACAGATCCTAACCACTAGGCTACCAGGGCTCCCCCAAGCCATCAGAGTTCCCTTTATATGTATGTGTGTGTGTGTGTGATTTTTATGTTTTTTTTCTAATGACTAGGGAGGATAGAAGAATTGATGCCTTTGAGCTGTGTGTTGGAGAAGAGTACTGAATATACCATGGACTGCTAGGAGAACAAACAAGTTCGTCCTGTGGAGGGTGAAGCCAGGCTGCTCCTTGGAGGCAAGGATTCTGAGGCTTCATGTGACATACTTTGGACATGCTTCAAAGTGTTCTTGGAGAAGGACGTCATGCTTGGGAGGGTAGAGCGACAGCGCAGGAGAGGAAGACCCTTGATGAGATGGATTGATTCAGTGTCTGGGGTAACGGGGGTAGGTGTGTCTGAGACAGTAAGATTGGCACAGGATAGAGCAGGGTTTAGGGCTGTTGCATGTACATAGGGTCACTAAGAGTCACAGGAGACTCAACGGCACATAATAATAACAACAAAATACTTCCAAATAGCCAGTGGCACAGTGGTTAACTACTTAACTATTAACCAAAAGAGTCTCTGGAATAATCTCATCAGCCACTGCTCAGGAGACAGCGGAGACAGCCTATTTCAGTAAAGCCCACAGCCCTGGAGACGGTGTGGGACTGTCCACTCTGTCCCGTCAGCTCTCTGAGTGGCAGTGGACTCAAGGGCAGTGGGGTTCTGGTTATCCTCACAACACGAGGACGCCTGGAACCCCAGTTCACAAATCACTACACCAGGAGGGTGCCTGGCTCAGTCTCACTCTCACTCAAGTGGGGGCCAAGCGGTCCACTCAGATCTACCAGATGCCGCTCTGCACCCAACCTTTCAAACTGAGAGGCTCCAGGAAGAAAGTCACCTACAGGGATGTCAAAGGAGGTGCTGTCCAAGACCAGTCCCCGATGAACATGTATGGCTAAGTACAATTGATAACAGTGCATCTAAATTCCAAAATCAATCTCCATAATAGTCTATGTGTTTCCTACTGCCAAAGGGGCCCTTTAGAGTAGTGAGAGAAGATCTTCACCCTGAAACCCACAGCGTCCCTTTTCAGCAGGAAGTAGCTAAGAGAATACGCCGTCCCCTTTTCCTTATGACTCAGGGTGAAGTCTCTCTCAGGGAGGAGTGATAGGGAATGGCAAAGGATACACTGACAAAGGAGATTAATCAGGACTGGCTTTGACAAGCACTATGGCAATTGGACAATTAAAACAGACTTTCAAGGGGGGGGGGAAGAAGAATGAACTGGGGAGGAGGGTAGAGAAAATAGTGCAACAATGAATGAATGAAAACTCATAATCTCTGTATATGTTCATTAAAACTAATAAAATTTAATAATTTAAAAAAAAAGACCAGTCCCCGCTCCCACCCAGGGCCTGTACAAAGCACCCACCTTTCGGATAACGTCCCGTATAGCAAAGTATTTCTCTGTGAGGTCGCCGGCCTCGCTCAGTGGGGCATCGTAGTCGTAGCTGGTGGGCTGCGGTGCATACGGCATGTTTGCCCCTGAAAGAGACAAAAGCCCGTGCCTCTAGTTACCACCAGACGCCCTGCCCCTTTGAGGTCCTTGAGTTCAGCTCTATGGGACAAGGAAACAAAATTGAAAGCACATTAGAACGCACTGTCAAGGGTCACAGACGCAGCGGTCAGGAGAGGCAAGGTTTTGAGCAGATTGTTCCTTCCAGGTGCCACCTGCCAACAGAGGTGACAAAGCACGTTCATGATCCACTCAGTCAGTGGAAGTTCACAGCTCCAATCCCAGCTGACGTCGCCCCCAGGGACAAAGCCGAGAGTCAGGGTTCCCACAGAACACATGCAACAAGGCACAGCTGGAAAGGGCCACAAGGACGTGACCCACATCACTGACCGGGCGCTCTCATGACCTCAGGCTGGATGCAGAGACACCGTGGGAGAGACACCAGGTGGGCCCAGGAGTGACAGAAAACCAGGGAGGGTTTACCAGAAAAGCCAAGGAGCGGACAGATGCACATCAGCCCACAGAAAGACAAACATGAAGGCTTCTGTGGTGCCTCCAAGGAGTTCCTGGATGGTGCACTGGTTAACATGTTCGGCGACTAACCAGAAGGTTAAGGGTTGGAGTCTACCCAGAGGCATCTCAGAAGAAGGGCAGGTGATTTAACTGGAAAAACTCAGGTAGACCTGTGTGGTGTTACTCAGGAGACTACCTGATACAGGCCATGGTCTCTGCAAATACTTGCTATGCATCTGAGAGCCGGACAATGACTAGGGATGATAGAAGAAGAGTTGATGCCTTTGAGCTGTGGTGCTGGAGAAGAGTATTGAGAATACCATGGACTGCTAGGAAAACAACCAGATTTGTCCTGGAAAGGGTTAAACTGGGTGGCTCCTTGGAGGCAAGGATTTGACATACTGTGGACATGTTGCAAGGCGTGGTCAGTCCTTGGAAAAGGATGTCGTGCTTGGGCAGGTGGAAGGTCAGCCAGGAGAGGAAGATCCTCTATGAGGTGGACTGATTCAGTGACTGGGGTAATGGGGGTGGGTGTGTTGGAGACAGTGCGATTGGCACAGGACAGAGACAGAGCAGGGTTTAGGGATGTTGTACAAAGGGTCGTTATGAGTAGCAAGCGACTCAATGGCACATAACAACAACAACAACAAAACCTGTGTGGAGCACAGCTGTATGCTGACACGCATGGTGTCACCCCAAGTCAGACCTGACCAGTTAACGTCTACAAAGAGCACAGATGATACGTGTGCCTTTCAAATCCTCCTTCTACATCAAGGTGCTCACTCAGGCCCCAGCTTCTGCCGTGGGGTTACCGGCTGCTGGAGGCTCCCAGGTACTTCTCTCCCTGGACACTGCTCTCTGCTAAGCTGCCGCACCCTTTCGAGTTGGCTCACATCCAACCACAGCCTAACGTGGGCACAGAAAAACCCAGTCCTCTTGTCTCAGTCATCACAGCTCCAGAGCTCCCCCTAGCACCAAGTGATGTCACCTCAGAGGCTGCATCACAACTCAGCACCTCTCTCTGCCCCATCCTGGCTCCTATAATTTCTTAGTGTTGCTTCTGAGAGCAGCCACCCATCAGTTTCCTGTGTGGGAGTCGTGGTGTATGCTTCCCAGAGCACTCGCCGTGTAACACAGACCAATGAACAGTGGCCATATTGGATACACAAAACCCCAAAAGTCCTCACAGTCATTGTCCAAGCGACAGAGTCTAGACCAGAAACTCCACATTGTCACAGAGGACATTCGCTGACTCTTTTTTTAAAAATTTTTATTATTTTGTGTGTATGTGCACCATCAAATCAGATGTGACTGGTACAGGAGGAGATTGTTCCTCCTTCTCCAGCAAAGCATCTGGTGGATTTGAACCACACACCTCTGGGATTGCAGTGTAGCTTCTTGCCACTAGGCCACCAGAGCTTGCCGACATTCGCTGACTCTACGTCAGTGTTAAAAGCTTACTCACTCAGAAGGGTCGCATGTCAGCGTGTGACTTTACAGGTTCTTGTTTGTCCTCCAGGGGTTCTGTTTTAGCATCTCTGGATGGGACCGGATACTCCACCTCTGACAGGTGGTACTGGTGCGTGGAGTAGTCAGGCCCCGTTCTTTTATTCTTCAAGAGCAATCGTGCACACAAGCGTGCAACAGGGAATTCTTTGAAGGCTAATCTCACAGGCAACCTAACTTTCAAGTATAGAGCATGGCAATGGGGTCACACCAGGTTGATCTCAGCAAGGGAGGAGACGGCAGACAAGCCAGGTCAGGGAGCAGTCAGTTCACGCACAAAAGACTCTCGTTCTATTTTCAATTTGTACAGGCTTGGAATTCTGCTTCCATGAACATTAGAGACAGGAAATGCCTACAGAGCAGTTTAACTCTGTAACAGAGAGTGGTTTGCAATACTCGGGATTGACTTAATGGCAACTAAAAGCAACATACATAGAACAAAGACGTTTGCCACTTCAAGATGTCTTTACGTGCACAATTCAGCGACATTAATGGTGCTCATCCCACTGTACAATCACCACCACTATCCATTTCCAAGTCCCTCCTGCTAACTAGGGGCCAAGCTTCATGGGTGGTTCACATCTACCAGTGGCTCTGCAGGACAAAGATGGGCAATATTCTCCTATATACAGAATACATAGAGTCTCAAAAACCAAAGGCAGGGGAGCTCTGGTGGCCTAGTAGCAAGAAGCTGCACTGCAGTCCCTGAGGTGAGCAGTTCGAATCCACCAGATGCTTTGCTGGAGAAGGAGGGGCAATCTCCTCCTGTACCAGTCAGATCCGATTTGAGGGTACACACACACACACAAAAAAAAAAATAATAAAATAAATTAAAAAAAAACAATACCAAACACAACCAAAGGCAAGGTCAGATACAAGTTGGTTCTAATGCAACAGCATCAAGTTGCTTTTGTTTTGCTTTACCAGAAGCTCAATGTCAAATTCCCCCAGCCCAGTGAAGACCACTTTCTATTACTGCTCTTCACAAAAGCTCCATCCTGAAAGCCTGGCCTGGTGAACTGGTCCAGTCACCTTGCCCTCCCATCTCACTCGTCAGAGACACAGTCTGATAGCAAACAGGGTACCTGCCTCCGGGAACACAGAGATCAAAACAACATAAAAGAAAATGCTATTATTACCCTTTGCTTCAAGGTCACCTTCCTGGCCGTGGTCCCTCCTCTCCATGTGGCACTGACTGTTTCCCACACAGCTCCCTCCACACTAGACGTGTGCACCCCAGGGGAGAGGCGGTGCCTCATTCACCCAAGTCTCCACCAGAGCCAGGCGCAGACAAGTAGCCCCGTGTGTGAACAGAGCTGACCAACCAGCGTGCTTTCTGGAAACAAACTCAACAAGCCAAAGGAACCAAGACTGGGGAGCCTACCAGTGGCTAAACGGATTGGAAAGCTCCATCTCTGCTTCCGGTGAACTGGTAGAACGTGTCTGTGGATGCTTCCCAACCACCACAGGGCAGCATTAAAGAGAAAAGGTGCAAATTTCAGCTTCTGTGGGTTGCGTTAGGGTGCATAAGGTAGAAAGGCAAAGGAAGTGGCCAAGACCTACCTCACCTCACCACCCCGTCACTTTTCCTTTTTGGGAGAACAGCCTTGATGACCAGGAAGCCATCGTGCAAGGGGGACACATACATGCAGAGAATGCACGCACACACACACACACCCCTACAATCTTGTGCACCACAAGAGGCTCATCTACTTGGGCAGGATTGGTAATAAGCTCCCCTCCAGCTGTTCTGTTCTGTCACAGTTACACCTTGGAGCTCCACAGCGTGCAGCCCAGTCCACCATAATAAATTAGTGAACATCACAATAAAACGACTCACAATTTTGTTTGTTTCCAAGCACATTTGAAAGGGAGCTCTGGTGGTCTAGTGGAAAGCCGTTGCAAACCACAAAGGTAAGTGATTCAATAAGTGTTTTGGAATTCCCATTGTTCATGATGTTATTCCTACGATATTATGGTCCACATGGTCAAATGCCTCTGCACGGTTGATGAAACACAGACAGACACATTTCTAGTATTGTTTGCTTTCAGTCAAGATCCATCTGATATTGTCAATAATCCTTACTCCACCTCCTCTTCTAAATCCAGCTTGAATTGCTGGCAGTTCTCTGGCAGTGTAGTGCTGCTGGTTTTTTGGTGGTTGTTGTGTTGTTGTTGTTGTTGTTGTGAGGTGCCGTCAAGTCAAGTATGACTCATAGTAATCTTATGAACAAAAGATCTGAACCCTGTTCTGTCCTGCGCCATCCTCACACTTCCTGACACACTAGAGCCCACTGCAGCAGTCACCGTGTCAGTCTGCCTGGTTGAGGGTCTTCCTCTTTTTTGCTGACCCTCCACCCTTCCCAGCACCATGTCCCTCTCCAAGGAATAGCCCCTCCTAGCAACATGCCCAGAGTATGTGTGGTGAAGCCTCATCATTCTAGCGTCCAAGAGCACTCTGGCTGCACCCTCTCTAAGACACATCCATTTGTTCTCCTGGCCGTCCATGGGATGTTCAGTGCTCTTGTCCAACACCACCGCTCAAAGGCATCAATTCTTCTTCAGTTATCCGTATTTAATGTCTGGCTCTCAAATGCATAGCAAGTAACAGGAAAGACTATGGTCTTAATCTGACACACCTTAGTCTTCAAACTGATACCATTGCTCCTCAGTAATTTGGAGAGGTCCCTAACTGCAGATTTTCCCAGTACAATGTGTATCCTTATTTCCTGACTGCTGGTATTGTATTAAGGGTGTTAATTGTAGATCCAAGCAAGATGAAGCTGTTGACAGTTTTAATCTCCTCTCCATCTGTCATGATGCTGCCTACCAGTCCAGTGGTAAGAATCTTTGTTTTCTTGACATTGAGAGGTAGTGTTGCAAGCATTTAAAAATTATCTGTAGAAAGATTTTGTGTGTGATATTAATGATAATCCTCAATAATTTCCACATTCTCTCAATCATCATTGTTTCGAATGGACACAAATATGAATCTCTTCTGATTGCTTAGCTAGGTCTTCCAAATCTCTGGGCACAGACTAGTGAGTATTTCCAGCCCTGCACTGTTTGTTGAAACATCTCAATTGGTATTCTGTCAATTCCTGGAGCCTTGTTTTCTGCCAGTGCCTCCAAGTGCTTGGACTTTGAAAAGAAGGTGGAAAGATTAAACAGTCGTTGTATCCAAAAGAACTGGTCAGCATCCAGTCATTTCAGATGGTAGCATATGGTCAAGAACTGATGGTATTGAAGGGGAAAGTCTTGCAGAAAAGGGACGGAACTCCCTCCCTGAAAGATTTGGAGGGAAGGCCCATAGGCAATTCTTCTATAATAAAAAAGTTAGGAAAATAGACAAACAAAAGGTGGAAAATAAAAATTGTAGGTACAATTCCAAGATCAACCACCAGAAAGATTCTAGTATATTCTAACTCTCAACAACTTTCCACTGAGTTTCTAACACTATAAATCTTTACAAGAAGGGGAGCTCTGGTAGCCTAGTGGCAAGAAGCTGCACTGCAATCCCAGAGATATGTGGTTCGAATCCATTAGATGCTCTGCAGGAGAAGGAGGGGCCATCTCCTCCTGTACCAGTCAGATCCAATTTGACGGTACATGCACAGAGAAAATAATAAAATAAAAATTTAAAAAAGAAAATCTTTACAAGAGAAGAAATCTAGTGTTCTCCCCTTAGCAGCTGGTGGATTTGAACCATTGACCTTTCAGTTAGCGTAACACATAGAGCACTAAAGCTACCAGAGCTCATCAAATGTCTGCAAGTAGATGTTAAATTGCTCTTACCATTCCAAAAGCCAAAATTGGTCCCCCCTATGAACATGTACCTACAAGAAAAAAAGAGAACACTTAGTAGTACTTCCTGTGAACTCCCCACTCGTCAGGGCACCCTCCACTCAGGCCCTTAGTACTTACATGTTCACATTCATCCCAAGGGCCAGCAAGTTATAGAGTGAGGAGGTCACAGCCTGAGTAGAGACTCTCGAATGCTCTGCACCCCAGTGGTCTAACCAGCCAGTGTAGAATTCAGAATTGACCTACAAAGAGAAAAGGATGTGGACATCAGAATGGACCAAAGACACGGCACTGAGGGTGCGCCTATGACACCAGCTACACAGTGGAAAAGCACTCGAGGCCAGAGCTGGGGACGGTAAGGACTCCCAGAGGTGACTTCCCCGCTCCCGCCCCAGGCACCACCCTGTCAACTGCTCCAAGGTGCTACTATCTTGCTCACACATTACCAGTGTTCCTGAAAAGCTCCCAAAATCCAAATTCTGTTCACCACATTAAGAATTGATTAGCCTTACTGCTTCATGAAAGAATTAATGTTAATAAAGGTTTTTATATAACCTTTGAGAAAGATTCTTCATAAAAGAGTCAACTCCAATTTCACCCTTTTCTGATTTAAGATGTGATAGACTCATACACTCAAGCTACACAAGCTACTCTCCTCACTACCATCAAATTCAATGGACTCATACCTAACCCTCCAGTGGGTTTTTGGAGACTGTAACCTGCAGGGGAGGAGACTTCTCACCTTTCTTCCACAGAGCTGCTGATGGGTTTGAACCACCGGAGTGGTGTTGCCCTGTGGTTAAGCAGCACGACTCCCTGTGGACTACGGGCCAGAGCTCCCTAAACTGCACAGTTGTTATTGATGGCCTTTGAGTCAAGCACGACTCATAGTGACCATGAACAAAAGACCTGAAGCCCCTCTACAATCATCGCCATTTATCAAAGTTCATAGTTTCCGGAGGCAAGTTATTTAGGAAGTGGCTTCCAAAGACTGTGAGTTTCTTTTGGTTCTAACTTTGCCAAATCCTTGACCTTGCTGTTGTTATTATGTGCTCCGTGTCCCTTGTGATTCATAGCGACCCTACGTACAACAGCCCTAAACCGTGCTCTGTCCTGTGCCAATCACACTGTCTCCAACACACCCATCCCGATTACCCCAGTCACTGAATCAACCTACCTCATAGAAGGCCTTCCCCTCCTGCACTGTCCCTCTCCAAGGACCTGTCCCTCCTTACAACATGTCCAAAGTACGTCAGACGAAGCCTCAGAATCCTTGCCTCCAAGGAGCAGCCCGGTTTGACCCTCTCCAGGATGAATCTGTTTGTTTTCTTGGCAGTCCAGGGTACTCTCAATACTCTTCTCCAGAACCACAGCTCAAAGGTGTCAATTCTCCTTCTATCCTTCCTAGTCACTGTCCAACTCTCTGATGCATAACAAGTGATAGCAAAGACCATGGCCTGTATCAGATGCACCTTAGTCTCCAGAGTGATGGAAAAATTAATTAACCTGGGCAGCTCAAGGGGCCTTCTGTCTCAGGCTGTGGGAGGTCAATCTGGAGCCAGGCTTGGACACCGGCTCTGCAGTGGTGCACCCAGCACAGAGGGGCCAGGCCCGGAAGGGGCTGCATGAGGTCTCCGTGGAGGTAGGGCAGTCAGAAGAGTGCCGGTGGTGCAGTGGGGAAAGCCCGCAGCTGCAACAAAAAGGTCTGTGGATTGAACTCACAGGTCTCTCTGTGGGAAGTTGCCGTAACAACTACAGCCTTGAGTCCTGTACAGAGCAATTCTCCTCTGATTTGATTGACATGATTGAAACTGAGACTTGATGGCAGTAGATTTGTTCTGGGTGGTGGTGGTGGTTGTTGTTGTTGCTGTTTGGCTTGGGACAACCAGATCTGTTATGAGAACATATGTGACCAAACCCCTTAAAGGGGCCAAGCTACAACAATACCAACTACTGCAGTTGTAGACAGAGCGCTGGGGGTGCCATTCCTAGTGTGTTGAGCTTCTCATCAAAGGCAGCATCTCTCTGGTGGTTCAAATCCACCAGCGGCTCCTCTGGAGAGAGATGGGACTTTACAGCCTCAGAAACTCAATGGAAAGTAAGTCCTGAGGAGTTAGTTTCAACTTGAAAATCATCAGCTGAACAGAACTGAATTACTGCTGCAGAGGACAAGCAGAGTGATGGACAGACAGACTACCCATGCCTGCCTGGGCCTCCCCACCGCCTAGCAATCCACACGGCAGACCATAAAGCCCTGAAGCCCTGTGTGGCCAGCAAGCTCACAGCGTCAGCATCGCCGGTTTGCCTGTTGCAATGAAGGATCTCAGGCCCCAGCCCAGACCCAGCGGTCCAGAGTTAGCCTGTTAATGAGATTCACCAGCTGATTTATAAACACACACGAGATGGGGCAGCTCAGTCACAAAAGGTGTCTGGGGACACAGGCCTGAACTCAGGGCCTGACACTGGCTAAACGGCCCTGGAAAAGTGATACAGGCTCCGTGAGCCTTGGTGAGCTGGTGACAACCATGTCGTTCCTCAAAGCTGCCACAGAGCTAAACTTGATGAGGTATGCAAGACACAGAGCCTAGCATGCGACAGAACTTTCACACTGGTCCCCATTCTGTCCCTCTCTGTCTGGGGCCTCATTGTTAAATACATGTTATCACTCACATCTCCAGATGCTCTAAATTCAAACAAGTCTGTTAGATTCTTGATCCAAAGCTGAGAGACCAAGGCTCTATTCCCAGCTTGCTACTGTATGGACCCCCCCCCACCCCAGCAGCTGTTACAAAGCGACTATCAGCTAAGGGTCCCCCTACTCTTCAAGTCCACTCTTACCAAGGGTCCTCTCGGCTCAAACTTCCTCTGGACTTGGATAGCAGCTGTGATATTGGCACCTACAAATTCCAAGAGAGAGAAGAACTATCAGTCGTGGGAATGACAAGACGTTATACAAATGGAGCCCTTTGGGGGACTTGAACCTGCATCCCAGACCAGACTTTGTCCCTTCCATCGATGGGTGTCTGGGGACCACAGGATATTGCTTCCTCCCCACAGGTCCTGACTGCACTGTGTCACGGTTCACTCCACAGGCCCGCCTTCTTCACCTGCATTTCCTTGGGGGTCTGCACCTGCTCACTCTCTTCATCTCTCAGGTGGACATCTGGTAGACCTGACTGGACCAAACACTCACTGCAGGAGGGGCTGGCTCTGAAGACACCCCCTTGTAATCTCCACAGTGTCACGGATAAAAAGGTGTCAAACATTTGCCAATTAATTGGCAAATCAAAAGGATGAGGGTGGTCTGTGTTTTTTTCCTAACTAATGTGGTAGACCGTGAACTCTAACGTGTAAGTCATCAGCCATCCCAGACCACTCTTAATTTTTCCTTCTGAAATATTCCATTTGGGCAACGCCTATGACATGTCTTCCCACCCACGTCTTCTACTCCTTCTTCCTCTAAAAAGAAACAGAATTTCCTCCACAGAGGGGTCAAGAGCTGCCTTAAGTCTGTGTCTTAAGCATAGACAGTGTCCATACTCATTAGAGCACAGGCTTCTGGGTCTAACTGTCACAATGCTATGCCCACAGCAGGTGGACCGGAGTGGAAACCACACAGCCAAGACCCTATAAATAACTCTAAGCTCTCCGGTCGGGCTCTGGAATGTCTGTAAGAACAGCGTTCAGGAGAGAATGTGCCGAAGGTGGAGACCAAGAAAGAGCAGACTTCATCTACTCTGTGACAGTATTTCTCACTAGGAAGCATCAAGTGAGTGTCAAGGGATGATGTCTGTTCTCCCAAAAGATATGTTAAAGTCCTAACCCAAGTACCTACAATTGTGACCTTGTTTGGAGAACTGTCTGTGCAGCTGTGATAGGTTAGGTTAACATAAGATCGATCAGACTGGAGTATGGTCCTAAACAAGCATGAATGGTGCCCTCGTAAAAACAAAAGACTAGATACGGAGAAACACAGGAGAGATGCCACGTGGAGATGGAGGTGTAGTCCGCAGCCAGGCTGCCCTGAGCTGAGGAATGTCTAGGGGTATTTGAAACCGAAGAGACAAGGAAGGAACTTTCCCTGGAGCTTCCAGAGAAAGCACAGCCCTGCTGATGTCCTAATTTGGGGCTTCTAGCCTTCTGACCTCTATATAGTGGTTCAAATCCATCAGTGGCTCTATGGATCTCCTCCCCTGAGATTTACACCCTCAAAAACCTCACGAAGGTCAATTATGAGTCAGTTCCAACTTGACAGCAGTTAACTTTTTTAGCTGAGAGACTTCAGACATGTGAGGCAATAATGAAGCCATCTAATTCCTGGTACCTCTTACAGCAGCCTTAGGGCCCTTCTGGAATCCCTGGGGGTGTAATCAGCATGCAGGACTGCTAAACAGAAGGTTGGGGGTTCAAGTTTGCCCAGAGGTATAATGATCTATGTCTGAGAAAAAGCCACTGAAATCTCTAAGCTCTACTCTGACCCACAGGGAGCTGCCCACCCATCAGGGTCTGCTTGACGGGAACCGAGGGCAGAGAGACACTCAGACACATTTCTCCCACACGGATGAATGAAGCTGGCCAGGGCCCCAGGCTGAGGGCGCAACGACGTCCGTTCCTCAGCCCACCTGTGTGTAACACTGTGTGAGCTCAACTCACACACAAACAAGGCTTAGCAACGCCAACTCACAATAACCTTCGACTTGCTCCCACAGCAGAAAAAGGGTGTGCGTTCTTTCATGACTGGTGGGAAGAGTGCCCGTCCCGGGGAAACCAGCAGCCACTTCCTCTGCAGCTCTCTGCAGATGAGCAATGTCATCACTCATGGTACAGAGGTACCATGGACCACCACCCAGAAGTACACGGCCCACTTACAGTGAGCTTTCTCTCTTTTT